ATGGAAGAAGATTTCGATCTTTGAGATTTTTCATCCTCATAATCCAAATTTAAAGTTTCAACATTCCTGTTCTTCTTGCAGAATTAAGTTGTAGGTATCAGTTAGAAATTTTCAGCCATGACTCAAAATATTTGAGCGCTTCAATTTGCTCAACAGTATGAGCAACATGACTACATAGTTACTGGTTCTTTTTACATCGTTTTTACACTGATTGTACAGTTTTTCCAAATTTAACTGCCCTTGCTTTGGATTGAAGAGAGTTCAACTTCTCTTCGTACCTCCTTCGTCTTGCCAAAAAATGTTGGTTGTTTCAGTATGCTATTCTGACTTCACCATAAATTAGTATCAGCTGGAAAATGTGTGAAAGATGAATCTCCGAAAAACGGGTGTACAGGTCAATTTGATGCGACTCTCACACCTTCACAGAAAACCGGAGTTGAAAGCTAATCTCCACGCTTCACTTTACTTACAAGGGAGAAGTAGTCTGTTTTAGGATTCACGGCAATCGTTGAAAAAGAACAAAATTAACCACAAAATTACATCACATAAAAAATAAAGACAAAATATCGAAATAGTTGATCGGAATTTTTGGTTTGGATTTGACTCCAACTATATATGGCCATTTAAAACCAAATTTTCACTTTGCGCTAAAAATTTCGGATTTTGTATTTTTTCGGGTTTTTGCGCTTATTCACTGGCTATTTTTCGTCTGTTCTGTCAAAAACATCAAGTTTTAGTATTTAGCACTTTTGAAGAATCATGAAAAGATTGAAGTTTCGAAGAAGCCCCAACAAATTTGAATTAAACACTAATAAATTTGCAAACTTTAGATCTAGCAAAATTTTGAAGTTTTTTTCACTTTTGCTCTGCAAAAGCATGCGGCACACTTCTGAATTAACTTGCAGGAAGTTACCAAGTAACCAACAATCTCTAAGCAAGACAATCACTTTCTCTGGTTGTACATGTTGCCCACAGACCTGCCTAATAATTCTTTTATTTCTGGATACCCGTAAAAAACCTGTAGAATACCTGTAAAAAAACCTCGGCAAATCTTCTTTAAGTGGATACCTGTAAAAAGCTTCTGCATATCTTCATAAACTGGACACCTTTAAAAATTCTGCGCAAATCTCGTTATGTTTCCGAGATCGACACATGCAGTTGCATATCATGCAGTCGAGTATTTAAAAAAAAATTTAAGCTATGGTCACTCAGTTTATTCACTTTGCGCCGTCCCTTGGCCAGTGCAAATACATATTTTGTAGCAGATTTTGTCGAAACTTGTCTGATTTTCTGGCCAAGCGTCGTCTGGTTTTTCTAAAAATAATTTCAATCGAAACGTCATCATCTAATTAATGGGTCGGCGGACTTTAATTTTTCTATTTCTAATCAGGCACGGGTCTGTAGAGTAGATCGGGTTCATTAAAATAGCTTGTCGGAGACTTAAATTCTGATTAGTATTTTTATCGGAAAATAACAGACAGAAAAATAAACATAAAAAATGTTTCAGTACAAAACTCTAGTGCATTGACATAGAACAACAATTTTCACCGTACGTTGTTTCTGCAGCAACGGTTGACAGCAAACGCGGAAGTAACAGGCAAAAAATTGTCTTTTTGAAGTCAGAGAAGGTCGAAATCGATTGGTATTACGTTTTATGAACTTTTTAATTACGTTTTTACTATTCAGAAATTTTAAAGTAATGGTCCTTGAACCCGCGCCGAGTAATATTTTTTACAGTTACTTCGAACTTCTGCGCAGTTGCATTAGGCTCTCGGGCAACGCGGCTTGTCTGGCTTCACTTTTCTGCCTTTATACTTCAAGCTATAGTTTGATGTATTTGCTTTTCACACTTTCAATTCAAGTGGAAACATCTTTTTATTAAAAGTTGAAATTTTTGAAAAGATTTTTGTTAATCATGAAAATTCTTAAAATTAATCTGCTTTTTATGATTATCTTACAATTTTTTTGTCAGTAGAAAACTAAATTCCGTTATTGAAAAATAAACAACTCATCTTTTTGTGTTCACGCTCAATTTTCTTCTTTGACTTCGAATGCTGCTAAGGTTCGTAACTCTATTTTTCGTTCTAATAGTGTTTGATCAGATCAGTTGACACATGGAAACTCTTTCAGCAACGTTTGGAATGTTTCCGAGAGAACGCGGTTTGAGCAAAATAGCTGGGATTTCAAAGCGTCTGCTGGGGATAAACGAGGTAATTTTACTCCGGGAAAACTCGTTTTGAAAGCTTCGTTTAGGCAAAAGGCGATAAAATAATTTAAAAAAACTTCATCGGCTTTTTGCAAAAAACAATTCTGAAAAAATCAATCAAATTTTTTTTTTTCGGTTTTTCTGAATCAATTTTCATTTTTGCTTTCTATTCGTATTTCTATGGCAACTAATGTCAATTATGTCTAATTCACTGATGTTTTACGCATTCCTATATTTCTCTCGTCACATCAAGCACAAAAAAAAACACATTAATTTAAGAACAGTTACCCCGGGTTGACCTCCATACACCAAAAATGCTTATCATACAATTCCATACATCAAGTGGATGGAAAAAATGCTTACCATACAATTTTCATGCAATTTTGAAAAATGGTAGAAGAAAGGTTTAAACTAATTTCTGCGGCTGTTTGATTCTAACCAAGTTCCGAAAGCCTCCAAGTTTTCTTAATTCAACAAGTTTTTTCCAAAATCTATTTTTTATCTGGAAAAAGCAGGACGTGGCCGCAAAATTAGACAAACTTCCCATACCCTGGTTTCTCGACAGATCTCTTAACCTGAGAATTGACACGTTAGTTTTCGAACAAAAACAAATTTTTTCCAATATTATGTCACAGCTTCGAACATATGACTTGTTTGAAGACTACAACATTTTTTTTCAATTTTTTTTTCTATACTTTCTCCTTTTTTCGGCTCAGTCTTGCCTCCTTTTTGGACCCGCTGCCCTGCTATTCTCCGTTGTACCGAAAGTGGTGCAAAACTTCGCTCTGCCTGTTAGTTCAGTTTTTAAAAATCTGTTTCTTTTCATTTAGTTTTTTCCGATTCAAATTCGATTCGATAGCTCTCAATGCTGCTTTTGCCTTGTGAATTCTGGCTTAGTTTTTGCCCACTAGCTTGCCGTGTTTCGGTTGTGATCTATCGCAGTTGGTGCGAAATATTTTAAATCCTTAATTTATTGGAATTTTTTTCCCTTTCTAATTTTTTAAATTTCTTGCACGATAAAAATGTCGTTGTAGCTGTTAGTTATGAATGAATATAAATACGGCAACTGGATGCAGATGAAAGAACTGGTGTTAGATGACAGTTTGATGCAGATTACTGGAATGCCTGAATCATCATTTTTTGTAAATTTTTATGTTTTGGGTCGTCCAACTCACATGCAGGTTTGTTTTTTGTTTGACCCCCTCGCCCAGGTACTGGTTCCCATAAGATTAGGCTTAGGAACTTATTGCTCTCTCAAGATTTGAGAAGATTTTCTTGCAGAAAATGTAAAATTTGAGCTTCAAACCTCTAAAGTACTGCAATTTTTCTCAAATTTTCTTCTCTGTTCAGAGATTGCACATTTTATGGGATGGGCTTTGACGTGTTAAAAAAGTGTTAATCATACAATTTTCATAAATGACAAACTTTTAGTCAGACAATTTTGATATATGGGAAACCTCTAATTTTACAATTTCCATATACGGAAAAATGTTTATCATAGAGATTTCATACAATTTTCTGTACGTATGGAATTGTATGACAAGAAGTTTCTCATATATGGAAATTGTATGGTTAGAAATTTTGGTCAACCCGGGACGTGTTTGATTGGAACTTTCTGTGTTATTTGCAGAGCAACCAGCTATCCTTGTTTTATTGAATTTTTGAGTGCCAGGAGTAATGACTGAGGGAGAGTATGAGACTACTCCCTTTTCCCCACGAACTTCTTCTGTTCGAGATGTGTGGCAAATCCAAATTTTGAAAAGGCGTCTTTAGGCATTCTCTGGAAAGTTTTTACAAAAAAATTGCAGTTTTTCGGCGCGCGCTCCCTCCTCAAATTAGTATATTTTGGCGCCGAAGGTGTCTGTAGAAAAGATTTAGGTTCAGTCAACAAAAAATACATATCTCAAAGTAGTACAAAGTTGACCCTTTGGGTCGGCGGAGGGTCGAATAACTGAGAGGAAGAGTCCCCCGTAAATCCGCTGGTGTATAGCAGTATAGAAACATAGAAGACAAACACTCTGGATAATTACAGTGTGTTCTGTTTTGAAATGCAAACTCTGACATATTAAACAAAATTATCATCGTTTATATTCTGCTTTTCGGAATATTTGCGCTCTGACTTTTTGTTCACTTTTGCGCTCGGGCTTTGTCAAATATTCACTTTTCATATAGGTGCGAGCAATCTAGTTCTCATTTGCTGTTTGCGTTTTAATAAAGTCATGCGGTAATAACCTCAGCAGAGAATTTTCCTGCCCCGAAAATTTTTGTTGCTTATTCTATTCTTACAAAACTGAGTGGGTTTGTAAAATTGTTAATTGTTCTACATTCACCTTTATGTGAAATATACTTGTGGTCACCAGCGGACATCCTCCTCCCCCCCCCCCCCCCCACTCGTGGATTCGACCCCCTGCCGACCCAAAGGGTCCCCCTTTGTACTATTTTGAGATATCCATTTTTGGCTGACCGACCTTATAATTTTTCTCGGCGCTAAAATAAACTAATTTTGAAGGGGGGGGGGGGGGGGGGGCAGAAAAAACGCGATGTTTTGGTCAGCATTTTCCAAAAAAGCTTTTTTGGATTTTTTTTCAAAGTTTCACCTGCGGCGCAGAAAATTTGGTCAAAATAAGGTTTTTGTTAGAGCTCAAAAAATCATATCGGTCGACCTAAAAAAAGGTTTCGACAAAAGTTTCATTTTTTTGAAAATCCGCCCCCCCCCCCCTAGAAATTCCTATATCCGCCCCTGCTAGTGGTTGAAGTTTCATTTTCACAGAAAATGTTCATTTCGAGGAAAAGATTCGATGAATATTGTTAAAATTTATAAAATAAAACAAGTGTTACTTATTTATATGTATCAAAATTATTATCAAGTTTAAAATTAAGAGTTTTAATGAAATATGGAAAATAAAGCTAATTGGGAAAGCGTTTTTAGAAAGCTCACTTTAAACACTTTTTACAGCAGCAGCATTTTGTGGAATATTTGACGACCCAATAATCATTTTCACCCTGTCACGCGAGTTAGATTTTTCTCACAAGTTTTTGTCATTTTTTCCAGAAATGTGTTTTTATTCAGCATGTGGCAAGTATTGGTTCGATGGCTCTTGTTTCTCGGGATCAAAATCGGGCAGCGGATGAAGTGATGCCCCCTCCTCCCCAGTACTGGGGGTGGTTTCCGATCGAGGGGTTCACTTGGACGTTTTCGAGGCTCCCGCCAGCGGGAAATCCCCCAACTGCTTGGGCAGCTGCGTGAAAATAACCTGAAACATGAAAAAATTGAATCAAAGCTTTGCTCCTTTCATAAACATTTCTAATGAGTTGAAGACTAAAATAAAATGAGCCGCAATAGTTTTTAAATCAAAATTTAGCCTAAACATTTTTGGACTGCTAATGTTTCCCTAGTATACACAATTTTTACAGTTTTATATTCATCGTTTATCTTTTTATTATGGAACTTACTGTTGTGCCTATAACCACTGAATAAATCAACCACTCTTAAATGATTTTCTAATGGGTTCAAATAAAAACAATTCGTGAATATAAGATGAACTTACTTTGTTGCGAGTTGTAGTAGCAAGCACCGCTGTTGTGCTGAAGAGCAGCGGCCGACTGGTTGTAGTGCAGGGCGGCGGCTGTCATCGGTGACAGCGACCGGGTCGTCCCGGGAACACCTCCCGAATTGCCTCCGGTGGATGATACCAACTGGGTTCCCATTGCCGACAAACCCGCTGGAGTTAGAGCCGAGTTGGATCCAGGGACACCAGTCGGTCTTGTAAAGCTATTTGGAGATGGCATGTTGGGTGCGGCGTTGTATGAAATAGCAGATGAAAGCGAAGGGTGTGTCTGGTTATTGGAGTGTACCGCACTGTTCTGCTGGGTGTTCTGTAAGATATTAGTAAGGGCCCCGTGCATATTGTAGTGTGTAAAGTAGGGGGGCATGGGTACGTTGGTATTAGTCGTCCCGTAGAGACCCGGTACGGATGGTGAGTTATCGTTATGATTGCCCGCTTCGGTTTTCATCGACAACTGACCAGAGGAAATGGAGTCAATGTTATTGTTATTGTTGTTAGTTTTGATTTTCTCCTCGCGTCGATGTTTCGCTCTTCGGTTCGAGAACCAGATTTGGATCTTTGTCTCTGGGATTCCAGTCAGAGTCGAGAGACGTTCTCGTGCATAGACATCAGGATAGTGAGACTTCTCGAACTCTAAACATTAAATGCTACTAGTAGAAAAACAATTAGACTCTCCATGGTAATCAGAAATGGGCGAATATCTGTTTAAATCATTCAACAGTTTTAGCAAGCCAGAAATTCCGTTTTCATTTTAAAAAAGCTTCTATGATTATCTAATTTTTTAGGAACTGTTGATCCTAGCATTTGAAAGTCTGCCAAAATACTACGTTGCCTAGATTCATTTTTTCACATGTTTGTCCTTTCACTGTTTGTTTTTCGAGAATATGCAAGAAATACATTTCGGATGGTGATAGTACCTTTTTCAAGTGCGTCCACCTGCTCTGACGTATAGGCTGTCCTGTTCCGCTGACTCTTCGAGTACTTCTTTGATCCTTCGCCCACCGCCTCCCCCTCCTCTTCACCTTCATCATCCTCGGGGGACGAGGTGACCGAATTGTCGGGCGAAGCAGGACTGTGCCTATCGTCTATTTCCAGCTTCCCCATTGGATGATGCCCATTGACCAATCGCATTGAGTTCGCCAGGGAGAACGCATTGTTGCCATGAACATGTTGCAGTCGTGAGTCTAAAATAATCATAAATCACTTGTATTATACCGAACAAAAACAGCAGTAATTTTTAAATTTTTATTGTCAACGTTTTTTGAGTATCGAGCCTTACAGCAAAAAAGAGAAGATCATTTACAGGCTTTCAATTATTATCAGATACGGACCAATTACACAAACGGTTATTATTTCACACTATCACATTTCAGATCCAATTAAGCGAAAGAGCGTAAAACAAGGGGTAATCTCCCATATACGTCAAGTGAATTACCAGAAATTAGATAGATTTATGATCTTTTAGCTAATCAACCTAGTCGCAATAAGTTGCCATGCGTGAATTGTTGTTGAATTTTACAAGTATCAAATATGGTTATTTGGCCCAGCGTGACCAAATTTGCTTTCGTTAACAGCCCAAAACTCAGTGAAAAGGCCTCAGGTTAACTTGACACTGAGCTCTGAAGCAAACCAGAGCAGGGCGCAAAACCGACTTATCAAACTCAAAAATGTCCCCAAAAATCACAAATTCAATACTTTCTAGAACTTTGATCTGCTTTAAATCTAAGAAAAAATACCCAAGAAATTCGCCCAGAACAAACTTTATTCAGAAAAAAGTTATATTTTGCAAAAATATTATTTGGAAAATTTACTTGGAGTTTTCTGATTATTGAGAAGTAGATTTTGAGCATTCGCATTTGGGTTTTGTGTGCGTGTAATTTCCTACCCTACTGTTTAACACCATAGCCGATTTGGCCCAGGGAGCTATCTGATAATACTATAGTACTCGGGCGCGATTATTTTGTTTAGGGCAGCGGGCAAATTGGTTAAAGAATTATTTAGTTAACAAAACTGGGGCATATAAGTTTAACTAACAAAACACAAATTCATTTCATGTATACTCTAATTTGCAAGTTAACTTTCCAATGCCGCTGTCAACAAAGAAAAATTGTCTCCTTCGCTTAAATCTCTTCTCTCCTTTTCCAGCTGCCAAACATAGCTCGCCCCTTCCTTTTTTAGCCACCTTTCAGGTCAAAAACCGCCTAATGAACCCAAAGATATAAGAACATAACGAGTTCTTAAGAGTAGGATTTTTTAAATATGACTTGATAATGCTGAATATAAATGAAGTAATTGTGAACTTTTTTTTATCCGTTTAGACAGGCGCGAATCTAGGATTTTCTCGAGTGGCGGGGGGTTTCAAAAAAATTCGAAAATTTTGTCGACCTTTTTTTAGTTGACCAAATTGATTCTCTGAGCTCTTTGATTCTCTAAGGAGTTTTGAGGCACATTTTAGAAAATTTTGACTAAAAAATCGCGTTTTTTTTCTTCGGCGCGCACTCCTCCCTCAAAATTGATATAAATTGGCGACGAGGGCGCGTTTAGAAAAGTTTAAGGTCAGTCAGCCAAAAATGGATATCTCAAAATAGTACAATTGAAAAAATCAAGCGGTTGAAAATTTAAGATCTACTGCTCGCATTATGCGCTTAAGCTGGTTCTGCTAGTAGACTCTTCTATTCAATGGAACTAAAGTATCTTCAACTGACTGGCCAGTACTGGCCTGATGGTTCCACTAAAAACCGGAAGTGCTTCAATCCCAAGATTGCCGCAACGTCGGCACTTTTCCCGTTTCAAAGCACTCTTCAAATTTGTGGGGATTTAGAAATCCGGGAGGGAGGTGGCATTTAGGGCCAGTTAGCTAAGTGAGAACATATTACTTGATCGAAGTTGTTAACAACTAAATGGATAATTTATATACCAGAAGACCAGTTTAAATTAGCCTTCTTTTAGAAATAGGCGGGGCTTTTGAAAGCGTACCAAGGGCTAAGCACCTACGTTACACCGTAAGAGTAAGCTAAACAAATACCAATCAATAGTCATAAATCTATCATTACTTCCCAGATAGGATCGTCAATTAGAGTAGGACCCATCTAAAACAACCTAAATTTTGAACTGCTACAGTTTGTGCTGAAACAGTTTGTCATTTGCAGAATCGGTGCCACCAAAACTCAGCTGCCTAATTAGAGCTAATCTCAGCAAACCATCGCAAACAGGTCAAAACAATTCTTCCGAGAAGTTACAACGTCAATTTCAAGCGAAATAGATCGTCTAGCACATGTTTGTAAACTAAAAGTTATAGGCATGTTCTTAGGAAAACGGGAAAATCTTTTAGGGAAATGGGCTCCATAAAAATGCGACAATTGAGATTTCTTTC